ACCGGAGTTACATCCAGTTGATGTCACATTATAAAAAGCATTGAAGAAATAATTATTTTTAGAAATAATTATTTTTAGAAATGATTATTTCTTACTATTTTTCATTGTATGTAAGATCGTAAACTTTTTGTATAAAGATATTTTTCTCCGATATTCTCCAGATGTTCTTTAAAATTGATTAAATTTTTTATTTAGATTATTTAGAAATTTGTATTTAGATATTTTATTTGTTCCGGGAAAGATATAAGTCACGCACGTTTTAATCGAAGTAAGTTAATATCATCATTGCTTCGTGAATGTTGTCAGAGATATTTTATATGAAAAGGTAGTAAGCCATGTTTATACCGTGCTTGTTAATCCTTAAGGATAAGTTGTCTTTTTCATAAATCTGACGGAATATCTCGTCAAAATTTATACATTATAAAATAGATATTTGTTAGTCGAATAATTTTAATTAAATATGTTCAAGATTTAGTCGTCTCTTTTACAATCTTAAATTTCAATCGAGTCGAATTTCGTCGAGGAATCCTTTGACTTTCAGTTTTCAATAATTCTCCAACAGACATTTAAGAATTATCGAAAAAACGTTATTTTATTCATATTCTCGCCCCGAATGTACGTGACCTAAAGAGAACACCCGGCATTTCTGAGACACCTCGTATCCCAGAGAGTGAAAGAGAGAAAGAGAAAGAGCCGAATCGACTTCACCCTCGCGAACTACAACCTTCATTCAGAGCCGCCCCCGCATTCTGCCGCGTGACGTCATAGAAATATCGAAGCATTCACTACTCCACGCGATAGACGAAGCAGAGAGAGAGAGAGAGAGAAGCGAAACGATCTAGGATGCGCGAACACGGACGCACTGGTCCAGAATTATGTCTCTCGCTGATGGCGGTGATGTAGTGGTGAGTGGCAGTGGTGGTGGTGGTAGTAGTAGCGATAGTAGAGGGCTTCGCACTGACTTGTTCCCCTGCACACCACCCAAGTGTAACGTTGGTTACTGTGGCTTCTATTGCTGCGGTTGCTATTGCTGCTGGTGCTGCTGCTGATGCTGCTGTTGCTGCTGCCGTTGCTGCTGCCGCCACCACCTAACCAGTGTCTTGCCGCTCCTCCACCTTTCACTCGCGCGGGCTCAGTTCGCTGGTGTCCCTCATCAGCTGCGGGTCTCTTCGATCGACGCGCAACCAGTCCGACGTAATATCTGCTTGGTTTGACTAATCTCCTCTAGGTACATATCCTGCATCTGTGAAGTGTGTTTGCTGCGTCTCTCGCAGATATTTCCCGTTGCATCTCAATCTGAGTATTCTTCCACGTCTAAAAAAGACTTTCGAGGGTCGCACCTGTAGATACGTAGAATACCAAGTCCTTCGCGCGAGTCGTTATTGCGTAGTTCTTACGTAGCTTGCTTACAAAGAATGTCTATCGGGACACGCATTGCTCGGATGAAACGTTGAACTCGGTTCGAGATACAATTCTTGGAAGGAAAGTGGCGGAAAGTGATCTTTGCCAAAATGTATCATTATGCTCTCCTATAAGGGGGGATTCTGTCGCGAAAAGTTTCTGTATCGCGTGCCAACATTAAAAAGACATTATCGAAGAAGTTAGTGGTTCGGTGTGCATACCGACTCGCTACAGGTGGTGCTTTTTCGCGGTTGTGTTGTTTCGTACTTCGAATACATGCGAATTGAAAATTCGCTTGTTCGCCAGTTCGTTATAAGCGGACGTTCGAATAAGCGAATGATATAGTGCTTAAAAAACACAGCGGTTTATGTGAGTAGTAATCCTCTTGTTTTCATGCACGCCTGACACGCATCATGCGTCCGAAGTTACCTCATTGAAATTATTATTTAGGATTTAAGCGAGTTTGAACTGCGCCTTCAATTACTTGCATCATTTTATCGTTTTTACAAATTGTATTATATAAAATAATATTGACAAGCAAAGGAACTAAACCATCCAAACTTTTGTTCGTTTTTATTAATGCTCAAAATTTTATAGAGCGTGATCCTACGTGGAAATAATAATTAAGAAAAACGTGAACTAATTTTAAAGACGTGTGAAATATGTTATAGGATTATATGAAAACGCCGTGGTCTCTCAAGCTCTCATGTCAATAAGCTGTAATAGCAGCTTTCCTTGTGTGTATGATCAGTCAAAGACATATCCATGACCTTGTGCGTAGTATCTGATAGAGATGATAGCCAGCTTTGTTGTATTAAAGTGTTGTCTATCATCTTCGTAATGATACCGAATGAAAAGGATTAAATTATAAAATATGTATATTTATAGCGTGGCAAAACAATTCCGTCAAATCTGTGAAATAATCTATTGAAAATAATAATCCAAGTAAAGTT